AAAATCTTTAAAAAAAAAAAAAAAGAAAGAAAGAAAGGACTTGTGATAGAATCTGAATATGGCCAATTGCATATTTAACTTGGAGTAATATAAATTAGTATTTCTTCCTTCTCCCATCTAGACATTTCCTTAATTACAAGTCCATTAAGCATGTCTTTATTCCGATGTTTTGAGAATTGGGGCCTTGCTGACACTGGAAGAATGGCCTCTCCCAGGGCTAGCTAATGCCTAGAGACAGCAAACAACTTAAGAGTGCCTGTCATAAGCAAACCAACCAATCCAAAACCCACACCCCAACTACCTCCTGTATTGGGCTCTATCCACCTGTCCTAATCACACCAGGGCCAGGTACCAGACAACTAGAGAAAGGCCCTATAGCCCAGAGCTCCCAGAAATTATGCCAAACGAGTCAGTCCTAAACCTGTTTATCCAGCCTCACCCATTCCTTCCCTTGGAAATCATAATAAAGGCTCTTACCCTAGTCCTCTCGCTCCCTCTGTGTCCTGACAACTCTGGTGCTCCCCCAGGTCCCCGCTCCTCTTGGGAGCTGTAACTAACAAATTGTCTTTTCAGCACAACCATCTCCTGATCTGTTTGCCTCACCAAACCTGAATAATAATAAAATCTACATTTTGAAACAACTAGTCACTAAGAATCAGTATTTATTTAATTAAGGCTAGCAGTGCACTGAAAATTTCTTACTTGACAAGTCCCCTTTTTTACCATTTTTCTCTGATCAACTAAATACAGTTATTATGTTGCTCATTTTATAGTATACAATTATTTAAAAATCTTACGCTTACACTAGATTAATGGAATTTGTGAAGCATATTAATCTCATCATTAATCTTACTAGTGATGCAATTTCAAGTTTCAGGGAAATTTCTTCTGGAAAGATTTCAGACAGCTAGTCCCCTGAAATAAGATTATGTGGATTTGAACTTTCAAGGCAGAGATGGATACTTTATGTTCTTCAATTTATTTCAACAAAAATCTACTGAAAATTTATTCTGCCCAGTCAGTGTCTTTAGTGCTGAGGTACAAATATGCAAATGTGAATAGGACAGTCTCCACCTCCAAGCAGCTCAAGTATGGAAACAAGATTCTTAGGTTCCTCTCTTTGGGAACTATAACCAATTAGTCATTATCAGATAATCCATGAATACTAAAAAATAGTAATGAAACTAAATATTTACCTGCAGTACTGGATTCCCCTTGGTACTTCCGTTTCTTTTCGGTACAGTTCTCACATAGAAGCTTGTTATTCCCCATTAGCAATTCCATAGATGTAAACTGGTAGAGGCAGGACTGAACTGAACATTCTTTAGAAGTAGTTATATAGCTCTGAGAAAGGGTCTGAAAAGCATTTTGGGGACTGTGAGACATCATATGCTTCTCCTCTGAAAAACATAAATTATTTGGAAGATTTACTGGCTGATTTTCCCTGTCAAAATCTCTATCTCCAGTTACAGTGCTGCTTAAATGAAGTTCAGAAATAGCTTCAGCCACTCCCTCATCACCACTGTCGGCCTTCTTGGCGGGTGGTTCGCTCGCTGAAGGATGGTGATGGTGACCATTTGTGTGCACATGGCATCCACTGCTGGATCTCAACAACACATTCTGCTTAGAGGCACTTTCTGATTCGGAAGCCTCACTGTCAGCATCAACACTACTTTCAGAACGGCTGCCTTCTTTCTCACTGCCATCCGTAGGGCTTTCAGTCAGAGCTGACTCCGTACTCATGATGCTTGCAAACACTGAAGATTCCCCATTCATTTCAAGGTTTCCGTTTTTCTGGTTTATGACAACAGCTTTATCTTCTCCAGATGACAATTTTCTTACACTTTTTCTGCCAGGAATTAGTTGATTCTGTAAGTTGACAGTGTTTTCAGAGAAAAGAATCTTGTGACCTTACTGAAAATAAATGCCAATAAGTCTTATTTAAACATTCCACAATTATTAAGTATATACTATTTTATTGTAGTACCTCTGAAATCCATTTCTTAAACCTACATAAACTACAATCGGTAGATGATATACTAACAAATAGTTTTAATTTAAAAATGAACCTTTACACAAGAAACCAACAATAGTTAACCTATTTAAAGAGAAGAGAACAGGACTTTTGTGGAATAGCGCTGTGAAGGAGGCTTTTCAAGTATAAACCTTTGCATAATCTCTGTAGTCTTGCCACTTAAAAAGCCTTCTACAGAGTAAGTTAAATATGATCATATACCAATTTGCCAAGTAAGTACAAATCACATCATGTAAAATAAATTTTTTTAATGAAGTGAAAATTCGAACTGATTTCTTTACATTTATATGGGACAATTCAACAACCAGGTATGTTGCTAGTGAAATAATGAGTCTAGGCAATGGTCATCAATACCATCACAAAAAGAGACATCACACATGATGTGCGCCTCCTCGATGGAAGTATGCACCACCACTTAAAAGTGTTCTTGAACCTGCGAGTGGCGCGATGGTTAAGAACTGGCTTGGGATGCCAGAGGGCCCCGGTTCGGATCCCACAT